TTAGTGTCTGACCGAAACTGGTTTTTACGACCGAAACCGAAAACAAATTTCACCAACGGTCTCAGTTTCGGCCGAAACTGAAACCGAAACTTCCTTACAAGGATTACATTTTGAAGGAAAAATGAAGAAAACGTTATTATAATCAGTCAGTCTTTATTTTTTCATCTTTAAATCACAACGTCATGCAGTCTTCGACATTTTAAGTTATTGATTATCAACATAACAAACCCTTATTTAAAAAAAAATATTAATTGCACCTTAAAAATACTTAAAATAGGTGAGGTGTTTATTTGAGTAGGTGTAGATCCTTCTTTTGAATTTATTGATGGGTTTTCAAAAATATTAAACATACAATTACTTATCTGAGTTGTTACCTGGTATCACAATAGGTACTTAATATTTATATAATAAAGAAAGTAAATCACAAAGTAAGTCAAATGAAATTCAATGCGCCGAACACGACCGATCACAGCGCGGGAACTCCCGAATGCAGTTTCGGTTTCGGTCGTAGTTTCGGCAGGGTTGTCGCCGACCGATACTCGACCGAAACCGAACTTTCGGTCGGACACTAATACTTACCTATATACTAGTAGAAGAAAATGGCACAATAATTGGAACACAATGAAATATATAATATAAATAAAACGATGTATAACCCAACATAAAAAAGCGTTAATCGAATGTACGTAGCCTGCGAAGTTTGAACATTCATTCACCTTATTTTTTTAACAGTCTACTATAAACATCTCGTGTCAATGGGTTTGTTGTCACAATCCTCGGAAACAACTAGACCGATTCTTTTGAAATGCATGTGTATATTTGGTAGGTATAAGAATGAGTCGCCAAGAAAATTTTATATCACTAGGTGATTGGGGCGTCCCTATCCAGAATTTTTCTAACCAAAATCAAATTTGAAACCCTATGGAAATAATTTATAGGGCAGAACAACGTTTGCCGGGTCAGCTAGTTTTTGTACCATCACCACAATGAAACTTCGGAGTGAGCAGCCCTGTATCGCGACAAGCATTCAGTCGACGAAAATGAATCAGATGAATGTTCTTGAAAGCCTATCTATCTGCTCCTCTATCGATTAACAATTTATCCAAAAAGTTATTACCAGACATTTCCAGCATTCTGGACCCGCAATCGAATGCGGGGATAACAAAACTATCAGAATGATGGAAACGTCTGAACCGTCAATTCAAAATAAATGCCAAGACAAGTGAGTGAGCCAGACCGTAGTGACGCGGGGCTGTCGTCCGAATAACGGCTTCGACATCGATCCGAAGCCACCTCTACTGTGCCCGACGACGGTCCTTCCTTCACAGCACACCATGACGACCACTTAATTATTATTTATCCTCTTAGCACACGTAAATACCTACACGGAATTGTTTTTGTTTTGAAAATTTTAATAGTGTTGGATGTCTGCTACCGCGTCCTAGAAATCAATGACATATTAAATAGAAAAGGATAAATTTACAAAAATGTAGGAAACTTCCAAAGAATGGAAAAATTAAATTTATTTTAGAATAAACTCTACAGAGAGATGTTTAGATCATGCATAGAATATCTTTCAGACACAAACTGGAAGAAAAACCCTCTTGAAACATCTACTTTAATATTGACATTGAATTAATTATCAAAATTAATTATCACAGTTCCAACATGGCTTTATGAAAAAAAGATCCACTGCTAGTAATCTTAGCAATGTTACCCAATTTATAGCTGAACACTTGGATAGTCGTGCTCCAGTGGACATAATATACACCTACTTTGCTAAAGCTTTTGATAAAGTCTCACAACCAATTATTCTAAGAACCCTAGAATACCTTGGATTTCATCTCATATCTATCTAATCGAAAACAAAGTGTGATAGTGAAAGGGCATGAGTCCAGTCCATTTATTGCATCGTCTGGAGTTCCGCAGGGTTCCAACTTAGGTCCTTTTTTATTTATTTCATTTATCAACAGTCTTGTACAAAATATCACATCATCTCGCTAGTTGTTTGCAGATGACTTGAACATGTTTTGAAGAATTGTCTTGAAGATTGTGTATAACTACAAAACGATATAAATAACATCGTTGAATGGTCAAAAAATAACAAATTGTTATTCAACGTTCAAAAGTGTAATACTATGACCTTCTTCCGGAATAAAGTCAGTATAACATACAGAGATGGACGGTATAAAACTCTACAAATCTCGAGAAATAATAGACCGTGGTGTTACTTCTGATTATGAATTATAACTCAAATGAAACCCACGAATCAAGAGCCACATCTTTTCTCATTCAGAAAATTAGTATTGCCATCCAAAGAGAAAATGCAGCTTCGTTTTTCGGTACTCTCCCTGATTCCAAAAAACTTGATGAAATTTACTTGTTTCCTGAAAACCAATTTTATAAAGAAAAGAGAGGTAATAAGAAACCACTTAATGAAATTAAAATAAAAGCAAATGAAAAAAATACTTTATCTCAGCAAAATTNTACAACGATTCACACGTGTCACCAATTTCACCAAAGTCGCTTGTGAGTGGAGAAGCATACGTCCTCTTTTATGTAAAGGATGGAACAAAATCGCACCTTTAAGATAACCAAGGGAAAGTTTCTTTGTGCAATTATTATTTATTTTTTGTTAATTTCTTACATTGTAAACGGTCATTTGTGAGCCCGTAGAATATACTAGGTGAAAACTTAAATCTCATACACTGAATATAACAAACAAAGCCTCAACGATGTATGGGTTTGTTGCTCGCAATTATAGGCAATTCAACAATATTACCTGCATCAAACATTTGTATATCACTCTTATCAGTAGCATTTTGGAATATGCTTCCATTATCTGGTATCCTCAATATAATTGTCACAAGTATAGCATTGAAAGAGTTGAAAACAAAGAAACGGGTAACTATGACCTTGATATTTCTAAAATAGTGCTACTTGAAAAGGGCAACATACAAACCCTCGAGAAAAGAAGAGTATTTCCATACTTAATATACTTGTTCAAGATGATACATGATGAAGTGAATGATCCTTGTCTTCCATCAAAAATCAATTTCAATGTACCTGCTTATGAAACCAGATCGTTTCGCACATTTTATATTGAATCGGCAAGGACAAATTATTATTATGTGCAGTGCCTATAATATTGTACAAAATGACTGTGATATCTTTTTCCAAATCTACTATCAAGGAGATAATCAGTCGAAGCTGATAACAGCAGTAGAGAACTTGGAAAGAAGAAAGGAATACACGACTAGATACCAGGATTATGATTATAGTGAAGACGATTCGGAAGCCTTTTATTCCGATGAGGACGGATCGAGCACAGATGATCAAGATGTCCCACCAAAAAATTATACAGGTTTGTTGTTTTTCTTGCCTCTTGCCTTTTGTTGCCTCTCCCGAAAATATTCGTTCTGGTTTGGGAAAAGTATTTGTTTTAGATTTAGTTCATGCCAGCTATCCCATTTCTACTTATCACATAATTTCAATGAGTTTTATCTAGTTTTGTCATCCCTATCCAAACAAGACTTTATCTTTAAACGTTCGCAATTCATCAGATGCATAACTGATTTCTGAGAATGAAAGTTACTGTTAGCGGGTTACGATAACATGCAATTTTCAGTATTCTCAACAAAATATGCACCTTTTCATTTATCTTTCAATTTCCAATATTTATATATGATAGCTTATCTCCAAAAATAATTCTTTAGGTACCCGATGAATTTTTGTTTATTATAAAATAATAATAAT